CATAAAGATCAACTGATGAGTACTTTGCTTCTTGACTGAATGAAGGGAACTCCCATGGGCTTTGATTCAGGAAAATACTTAAACAAATGCTTAGCTTCCTTCCTAGTCCTCAGGTCATCCAAACATATGCTTAATATCAAATACGTATGCTGGGGTGCTCTTCCAAAATCAAACTTACTGAGCTTTGATTCTATCAGAGAGATATACATTAAGATCACCACAAAGCTAAACAGAATAATGTATTTGATCAAGTCTAACTCTTCCATTTTGGCCTTAGCATCCATGGCAGAAGCTTTACTCTTGAGGAAAAAAAGTAGGTCATGGTATAAATTATTAGCAAGGTGAAGAGTTCAAATTAAACGTTATCTTTCAATTCAAACAGAGTAACAGCATGCAAATGATTCCTTCTCACTGTGCATGGGAACAAGAATCACTATATAGGCTCATTTGCCTACCTGTATATCAAGCTCAGACAACCCTTTAGTGGGGCCTCCTCCCCAATTTCCAGCACAGCAAAGCCAACATCAGCTGTGGCTTTGAGTCTGTAATCTCTGTCATTGCACCCACAGACACTGATGATAAGAAACAGTATTTCTTCATTCACAATTATGTATCTTTGATTATGTGAGAAGAAGAATCCACTCTGACATAAACGTATGGAACTAGGTCATGCTTCCTAGAAGACAATCTTTGTGACATAATTCAGATTGATGCATTACTTGCTGGCAACCAACTTCAAATTATCCCAGTGTATACCAGGGATTCATTGTGATGGGTGCAGTAATTACCTTACCTGACTCCTGTAATTGCCAGCAGAATGATACACTGCACGTATCAAAAAGTTCACGTGACTAAATGCTGATGCTGAACACTGGCATGAATGCTTGTGGATATTGTGATGGAGCCAACTTAATTTTTTCAAATCACAAACAGAAAAGGCTGCTTAGATTCAGCTCCAATCTTTCTTGGAAAATATGTGAAATCTGTACAATCTTTCTTGCACCTACCATTAAAAAGTGGTCTACAGCAATCATTTTGCTATAAGCAAAAGCCTGTTCTTCAGCTATACAACTTGCCTTCCCTACCTTGTGCAAGCACATTCCCCTGCAATATTTCCACCAAATCCCTGGGTACAACTCTACCTAAAATGAGTAGATGGCATATAAGCTAAGGCAACTTTTATAGCTTCTCTTTGTTGGGTAAGAGTTTTAATCCTGCATGGGCTTGTGCTGCAACTATACCTACAGCTAGACATCTAACGAGTTATTGGCATGTGTAGCTATGTTTTTTCCACAGATAATCATGGTAAATCCCAAGGCAAGTTACACAGACACAAAAATACACATACAGTGATATAGAGAGCTTCAGAAATCTAGCTAGGTTATTTTGCATATTCTGAAACAGCTAAAAAGTAGACAAAATATCTTAAGCATGTGAAATTTTAACAAAAATTGCTTGACATAATTTAAGGAAAATACTAGTTCACTTTTAACACCAGAAGCACAAACAGTACAACACTATGACCTGAGTTTTGCTCACTAGTGTTAGCCAAAATTTGGTCTCAGGTCAGCTGTTTATTTCCAAGGTCACCTGGTTCTCTTTCGTACGGGAGGCAGACTGCATGGCTGGGAAACAGGCTCCTCGCTAGTAAGACATGCTCATTTCTCAAGATAATTAACCAGCAAAAGGCACCAGGTCAGCTACCCTGGCTGGTGGCTTTACTTGACTCCATCTCCCTGACTTGCTGTTATAGTCTGGACACGTTAAACATCTGGCAGGTTTCTTGACAGACCATTTTGAAAACTGAAGAAGGAGGTTATTTCCTGCACATCACCAGGTCTTTTCCAGTTTGGTAAGCTCATCTCGTTCTAGTAACACGTCTGTGTCTACATTCCCTTTGAGTAGGATCTCTAGTGTAACCACTTTCTGGCAGGTCTCTGAACTGCACTGTACTGGGGATGAACCATTTCACTGAGCAGGCCCAACTGGGCTTTGCACCCACAAGTATTTTACTTTGGGAGTCCGTGGACAGCAACAGTGTGCAATAAAACAGAAGCCATTTCTCCAAAACAAAGTATGACTTATTTACCAAAGCAGGCACAGTACCCCAAGAAATGGATTAAAGAACAGCCAGAAGACCTATGTCCATGCTCTCTTACCTATACTTGGCATTTCCCTCAAGCACCTGTTTTTGCTCTGGTTTGTTTTGGTTGACCCAGTTACAGCCTGTGTCGTGCAGACCCTGACTCTCCACAAGGCTGGCCAGCCTGCAGCAATTTCCTTCTACCCTTCCTGCACAGTGGATCTTTAAGCCTTAAAGTTCTTGACTTTAGCAAACAGCTGTGTAATTAGGGGTGGAGTGAAGGAGTTGCCTTTTCACAGATATTACTAGAGCTCACATATTTTTTTGGGATGCTCCTTATCTAGGCAATTGGTTGCTTTTTACATTTGGTTCCCCTGACAGTCCTGTTTGATCCACTTCCATTGCAAATAACCCTTCATAAATAAGCACAGAGTCATGCATAACTAAGCAATGCAGGTTCTTCCCAGTTCTCCAAAATATTAGCTAAATAAAAGAAGTCCTTGTCCCAGGAAACTTTTAGAAGGCAATGGAAGAGAAACAGATGCAATTACTAAGCTGAACTACCTACTCTGCTCTCTAGTTGCTGCAACCAAAATCTTCCAGAAGGCAAAGACAAAACTGGCTCTGTGCTCACATGTCCAAATCACAACATCATAGATCTCTGACAGAGGAGGCAAAACAAAGAAAAAAGTTTGCTTCAGTCCTGGCACAAAGCCACCTGCCAGCCATTGTCTACAAAAAGCCTCAGTGTTCGCTGAAGACAAGTTCTTCAGCTGTAAGGGGAAGAAAACCCTGATATGCAGCTATCGTGTATTCTCTCTCCTTTATGGATTCAACTTTTACTGTCACAAGTTGTCCAGCTGCAGGGAAGGACCAGAATTTGGCTCTCAATTTAACACAGCAAGCTAGAAGAGATATTAATATGCACTGGATAGAAAGCCATTGATAAATCTGACAACATTTTTACTTTTATCAGTTATCAAGGGCATGAGATCTCAGATGTCAAAGTGATACCATGTCTTTGGCATATATAAGACTTAGCTTGCACATGCAATATCTGAAAGGACAACATGGTATAAGAAAATCATACTCTGTCTTGGACAAAACACTGGTCTCTTTTATTTTCACAGAAGACCTATTAAAGTCACGTACCCCTCTGTCTTTCAATGTCAAAGATACCAAAAATTAGTGTGTCTTGAAAAATGAAAGAAGATAGACACAGCATTTAGCAGAACGTGTCAGTATTTTCAGCTTACTTTCATGGCCTATCCAACTGTTTGAAATAAACCCCCAAAGAATATCATAAAGACTTGTTTTAATAAGTAGAGCTATAGGTCCCCTCAGAGATTTCTGCAGGAGGGGAAATAGTAGTTGGAAGAACAAGGAATTTGGAGAGATCTAGAAAGCAACTACATGAAGTATTCTTGAATATCCAAATCCCATTTTTTTTCTGTAAATTGGTGAACTGGGGAAATACAGGCCTGATCTGGAATATTAATTCTTCATAATCTGTCGTCTTAGAATCGTAGAATATCTCAAGTTGGAAGGGACCCATAAGGATCACCAAGTCCAAATCCTTCCTCCTCACAGGACTACGTAAAACTAAACCAGATGACTAAAAGCATCGTTCAGATGCTCCTTGAACTCTGACAGGCTTGGTGCCATGACCACATCCCTGAGGAGCCCATTCCAGTGACCGACCACTCTCTCAGTGAAGAACCTTGTCCTTATCTCCAATCTGAACTTCCCTTGACACAGCTTCATTCCATTTTCTTGTGTCCTATTGCTGGTCACCAGAGAGAGGAGATCAGTGTTTCCCCCTCCACTGTCCCCCTTGAGGAAGTTGTAGACTGTGATGAAGTGATCCCAGCCACTATTCACAATAGTATGTAGATGTAGTTTTTCTCATGAAAAATAAATGCACATCCAGTTTTCTGCTTGCATGCTGATGTAAAGTTCCCTGAAACATTGATTTGTTTGTGCTTACTTGTTTGATTCTTTGAATTTCTAGTTCATCAGAAACAAGATTGTTTTGGCTACTTTTTAATGTTAAAATTTGATTGTACTTTTTGAATTATTTTAAAGAGGTTAAGTAAGCAAGGTTAAAGCCTGTTTACACATTTATGGTTGGCATCAGCTAAATCACATGTTGGGAAAACTACATCTGCTTTGTACATTCCCTGAAGTCCTTGGATCAAAGTCTATTCTTGGACACTGCAGTGTAATATTGGGATGACTCCACTAAGGCAAATTGGCTTCTCCTTACCAAGAAATGGGGTGTAACTCAAGGTTAGGAAGAACAAATTTTGACCAAAATGATAAGTGAAGTTACTCCAAAAACCACTCCCAGGCAACTGAGCATTTTTAGCCATCTGGGAGATGACTGACTGATAGCTGACCACAGAATTGTAACATATACCATCCAATTCGTAAAGTTCAGGTATACATTAAAATGACCCCAGAGTTTTACTGACAGCTCTCAGGACATGCAACCAAGAATGTTGGGAATTAAGATCTAGGAAACAGTACTGATACTAGGAGGGAATACTTACTTCTAAGTTTGTTTCAGGCTCTCATGTCTGATCTTTCCTAGGTTCACCTTGTCTAAAAGACATCCAGTATTACCTCAGATTCACAAGAACGAAAAGAGCATGAAAATACTTTCTGAAATTACATTCCTCGTTTTGATGTTCTCTTTTAAAATAAATATAGCCTATTCACATGGTTGCATATATGCACAAGCATGTTTTACTCTTAATAGTACGTTTTAATAGGTGTTCAAAGGCTTGAAATACACTCAGGATCTTTGATTCCATTAGAGAAAAAAGTGACTGCACCTTCTGATGGAAGAAAGAAATATGTGGCTAGAACAGCTTATAAATGGCTCTCAATGCACAGCAAGTGGAGGTTGTTTCACCTACAATAAATCTAAAAGTACATTTACCTTTTTTAACTTTGCTGCTCCAGCACCTGAGCGAATAGCCTCCATCAGGGCTTGCCTTGCCTCCCCAGGGTTACATGTAGCCGTGGCGGAGGACTTAGGAACTGCTGCTGACAGCTGAGAGGGAGGTGGTGGTGGTGGTGGCGGCTGGGCAGGGGCAGGCGGGATACAAAGCTGCTGCTCCTGAGGGTCTTCTGCCTTCTGCCAGGACAGTTCCATATTCCTAAAACTCTGCAGCTCCTTGGAGGCCAATGAGGAGATCTGCTCATTATGCAGTTGAAAGGAGGTGATTAGTATCAAGCATGACTAAACTGTAATTTTTTGACATTTGATGCACTTTCAGTACCTCAATTTCACTTTGCCTGCATGATGTAAACCACATAGAACTTTTGTTTGCTCACGGGGCTGAACATCTGTTACTACTCACTCACATCACTCAGCTGGGCTGATTACCAGCATCAAGGATTTGGCATTGACTCTGTCTCAGAAACTCAATCTTTATTTACTGTGAGCTCCAGCATCCTGTAAGTCTTCTTGGCATGTAAGGTAAGAGAGAAAGTTGGACTTGGTATTCATTTGGAATCAACCACAAGGGTTTTGGAATCAGGAAGATGTATTACGGCTGCAGTAGCCACCCAGGAATCTCGTTACTTTTTGCAGGCTGGGCTGCATAGAAATAATCTCAGATGACAGGGAGGCTCTTTTAGGTCTGAACTCCCAGACATGGCTTCATTAAAAAAATGCTGTTAAACCTAAAGTTTCAGCCATACTAAATAAATAAAATAAAATACGACCAGAGAGAACTAAGAGAAAGCACTTAGAACAAAATCAATTGATTGCTCTTCCAAGCATGTTTTTGTGACATTTCTAATACTAAAATTTCTGCACGAATTTCCAGCTTGGAAACTCATCCTACTTAAAATGAATGCAGGGGGAGGAGGCAACCTTTTAGACTACGCCAGCTTTTCTGTCAACTGTCTCAACAAGTATTTTTGCCGTTAACAACATCACTAGTAATAACCATGATAAATTGTTGGTAATTACAATGATTTGGCAATTATTAGAAAATTCAATATCATGTGCCATATGGGAGGTTTTCAAGCAGATGCATTAGCATTTCTTCCTCTGAGAAACTGAGGCACAAAACTTCTTTAGTGCAAAATGAAAGGATTCATTTCCCATCCAATCCACAGTCAGAAAACTCCTCTATTCTTTTCCTTCACTGTGCACACATACAATATATGGGAATCATGTCATGTCAGGTAAAACACGAACATTTGAGAGAAATATGAAAGGGACAGCCCTTTCATCATAGCACATCTATATCTCACCCCATACACATACAAACATGGTGCTTTAACTAGCACAGGTGACATGGTGTGAAAAAGAAGTGTACGGTTTCTAGGCAACCTCCGTTAAAACGATGGTAAAAGCTTCTCTGTTGGAGGAAAGTATTCTAAAAGGTCTCTGTGATAATACCCTACCACTTCGTCATCAGAGCCTCTTCTACACAAATTTACTTTTATTCCCAATGAATGCAGAATGCAGTTAAGTATGGGTGAAGATGGCTGCTGCATAGCACACCCTGCTCTCAGGCTCAGAGGAAGCTGTATCCTACCTGCAGCAAGGACAGTAAGGTATTTGAGGGACGAAGTAATTCCCTAACACAGGCAAGAGATTCTTTCTACCTCATGCCAGCTATCTGGATATGTGCTAACAGCATGAGTCACCGCACGAGGGAAATGAGAACCTCCTTGCCAAATACACGTCCTTGGCTGAATTAGCAAACCGAATGAAAACTAAAGCTAGAACAATGCAGTTTTGGGCTATTAGGAATAAGAGATGCTTTAATGATTAGGTAAATCTTTCAGACAGAAGGAATCATCCTGCTGTGGTGAAAGTTGATGTTCCATCCATATCAGTTACTTGCATACAACTTCCATGCACCAGCTCATGTTAACAGATAAAGAGCATGAGTGAAGCAGTTGTGTGTTTTCAAGTAACTGGGCTTTGATGCATATGGTAGGTAATGCAAATATATTCATCTAACTGCATACTCCTAAAGCACAGAAATACCCCACTTAAATATGAAAATGATAAACATCTGATGTCTTCTATGTACACTCCCTGCAATTAGTTTGGATTTCCATGTGCTTTCTTCTCAGCTAAAAGCACACAATTTGAAGGACTGTTAAGTTTTATAGCAGAAGATAGGATTGGACCTACTATGCTATCTATCTAAGTCAGATCTGATCTTGGGTCATATTATTTTCCCCCTCAACTTTTCTCTTTGCAGCACAATGTTTAGTTTGTGGCATATCTGGGTTTATTCAAAACACCCATCAGGAACAGACTGCACTTAAAAGATCACTTACCATCTTGATTTCTTACCTTTTTCAGTTTTGAGGTCCCACTGTGGCCTCTAATTGCTGCTAGTAGGGCTGAGCGCTCATTCTCTGGCTCAGCATATGAAGGTTTGCTGTGATTGGCATTTAGTGCACTGTCTGAAACCTAGAATATGAAAACAATAAACCTCACATTGTTATTAGATATTTATTTAGAGGTAGTTTGGAAGCACTATTAAAAATATTTTGGCACTTGTAGCAGAATGCAAACTATGGAGACCAGTCAAGTCTATCTTCTTTCGGGCCTGCTTTTACAACCCTTACTCACACTGAACGGTGAGGATATGCGCAGATAGTAATGCTGTACTTTCAGATGCCACCTCATATTCCCTGAGCATGAAGCCAATGGCAAACTAGTATCACCTAGTAATACAAAATGCAGTTTTCTTTCATTGCAAGTATTTACAAGTTTTTTCCATGCTGTGTGTTCCTGATTTCACATAACACACTAAACTGTGGGTTCAGCTCTCAGGCTAACCCCAATTACCTCCCCTTTATGCTGCACCTCTGCACCCTCTGCTTCTTCTGGCTAGTGCAGCAGCAGTGGTGTTGCATAATCTACAGGATGTGCGGAATAAGCAGTGGCTTGGTCTGTATTTTGCCATTATAAATTTTTCAAATGCCTTGTGTACTCCGGCTGACTAGCAACTGTACCAGTTATAAAACCTCTGATGTCTGGCAGGGAGAATACAGGGCTCTGCAGTCTGAACAGGCTAAAAAAAGTCGTCACTTTACCTTTCTGAGCTTTTCCTTTCCCCCTCCTGTTTGAATGGCTTCCATTAGGGCACTGTGCAGTGATGTGTCTTTTGGTACTGGCTTTTGCACGACGGGTTTGAACTTCTTCTTTGGTCCAAAGATATTGGTCTGCACACTAACATCCAGTTCACTGACAGCATTAATATCCAAATCATCCGGTTTCTCCTCCTGTTCTGACTCTGTGTTTGCAGCTGCACCATTCAGCTCGGTTGAAGCTTCAAGTGAACTGACTTGTGCACCATTAGCAGGTGGCCATTTACCAACTCGCAAATATGAGCTGAAAGGGGATGGGACTCCTTGGAGATCAGGAGACTTGAGAGTTGAGGCTGAATTAGTATGGGTCAAAGTCTCACATTTCTGATCAAATAAAAGACGCATCTTTTTCTCTGCTATACTTTGTTTGCTGTTTAAACCATGATCATCTTCTGCACTGTTATCCTTTGAAGAGGATTTAGTAAGTGGGACACTCGCATTCTTTTTATAGAAAGTCAGAGGAGTTGCTTGATTTGGTGCCCTGATGTTAACCACTTTGTTTTCCATGCCAGAATTATCACCAGTTGTAAACCTGTGTGATGCTTTCTGACTGCGAGTAAAAATACTTGAAAATGTCTCTCTTGCTTCTGCTGATTCTGTTTCCACAGGGCTGTATTTGGCCACAATAATACATCTTTTTGGTGAACCTTCTGCTTCAGTTTTAACGTCTCCTGCTCCTTGCTTATTTTCATCTTCCTCGTGATATTCCATAATAGAGTCAGACTTACAGGTAGTTATGTTGATGTGTCTTGCAATGGCAGAAGCAACATACTGACTTGAAGTTCTCCTATGTGGCTTCACAAATGGAAGCTCTAGCTTGTCCTTATGAATGGTTGGGGCCACTAATGGTGTTACCTGAGACTGTGTAACCGGAAGAGGTGGTTTGGTCCTTTCATTCTCAGACTGTCTTTCAGCTGCCTGGCTAGTAACAGTTTGTGGTGCTACAGGTTTTGGAGTTGCAAGACAGACAGGTTTGTGTTCATGTTTTATAGTAAAGGGCTTAGAATTCGTGGTGGCTGCTGACTTTTTAGGAAGATGCTCAGCAGAGTCATCACTTTGCTTTTCCATAGAACTTGACCTCCAGAATGCCTTCACTTTCCCAAGACAGATTTCCTCACTTTCATCAGCAGAGGTACCTGGTATGTGCTTACTGACACCGGTGTTTGGGCCTATAAGATTACCTAGTTCATCTATCTTAATGGCACCAGTGGAGAGTGAAACTCCTCTATCAAAATGTTTTACTTCCGGTTTTGGAGGGACAACTTTAAAGGTTGTCAAACCCATTTTAGGTTCATAATTTGCTCCTGAATTCTGGGCACGATGACACCATGTGGGTGTTGATGGGACTTCTTCTACTTCATTTTTTTTTGCTGGTGGCCATCTGATTTCTAATTCTGATTTACTTTTTTTCAGAGATCTTTCTCTGTTGCTACATTCATTAAATGGATTTATCTTCTCTTTTGCTGTACTGATTTCAGCTGTGGCCTTGGAGTGAGATGGAGTCAGCTTAGATTTACATTCCTCAGACTTCACACCATGTTTGGGGGGGGTGTCCAGTTTTAAGTTCTTTTCACTTCTCTTTTCGAAGGAGGATGTGAGTGATTCAAACATATCTCTCCTCTGTTCCACAGGCAAGTGACTAAATTCATGTTCAGATGGTTGCTGATGTATTAGGTCCTTGGATATGCATACAGCTCCACCATCCGTGTGCCCCTTACTAAAGGAACCTGCATTGTTGTTCTTATTTGTAAAGTTTCCTGTATTAGCAGAGTCAGCTGAGATACTCTGTGAAAGCCTTGCCTCCATCTCTTGATTTCCAGCTGAGTTAGAGGTGCTAACTTCTGCAACATCATCTATTACTGTCACTGGAACAGAATTGGTAACATCTTGGGCTACTTCAACTTTTCTTGTATGTGGGCTCAACGCTTCATTGATGTACTCAGAGTTACTTACACCATCCACTGCTGCAAAACACACATACAACATTACATACAGGCAGTATTTAGGTAATATGACTTTAAATTATACAAACAGCCAGTAAAGCTTAAGCGGATCAGATATTTTAGTTACACTAATGCCTCTGTTACAAATAAGGAGAGATCTGGGTCCTTTTTATTGTCTGGTTGCTGATTAGGATCAGCCAAATATTCCTACAGTCCTCCTGCTTCAGCCAGTGGGAAACATACAAATGCAGCTGAAAGCAGAATTTCATCTATTGTTCATACCTTATCTTTGACTAACTTCTCTCAGTGATAAACATTTCACCACATGACTCCAAAGGAGAAACATTTCTGAGAAACAGCAAGCAACTCCAAATTATGTTTCCCAGACCTGGTTAGTAATAACAGCCCAGCTGAAGGATTTCCTTGAGCAAGCAAACAAAGAAACAGTACTTGTATTTTTTCTCCATTCTTCTCACCCTTCATTACCAGTGACTCCAGAAGCCTCATTGTGCAAGAAGCTTAACTCTCCTCTCAAACTTGTTGGTATAAATCAAGGGTTGCAACACAGAAGCTAAGAAATCGCAGTGTTAGAGAACTCACAGAAAATAAATCAGAACCAAGTCCACTGCAGAAGTAGTGAAATTAAGATGGGAAGTTTTAGAAGTGTATTCAACATCATTTGGTGACAAACTGTTAATAGAGAAATACTTTTATTCACAGTAGGAAAAAGCGGAGCACAGTATGACATTTTCTCTCTTCCCACTGTTTCTTTCCATGTTTTCAAAATTTTAACTTTAAAGTACATCTGCTAATGCAGAGGAGGCACTGCGTACAAAAATGTCCCCCCCTTCTCTACTTCATTGGGATAAAACACAAACCAGAGGCAACGTTCATTAAACACAGAGCTAAATTCACAACTGATTTAGCTTCACTAAAGTCAATAAAATTACACCAAATTTGGCCATAAAATGTGTCCATAAACTGCTGTTCATCTCTTTTTGGTAGCAAACACTGAAACTGAATGACAGTCTTGATAAGCAGCATGAAAAATATTTAGTGCGAGTCTGTAAAGAGAGGCTGCCCGGAAGCAAAGGGAGAGCAAGCACTTTGGGTAGACCACATTCTGGACAGAACCTCTGAGTTGTTCCCAGTGATTTTAGTGAGAAATGTGCAGATGTCTCTAGAGTACAGTTTGACTTTGCATCTCCTGGCTATGCCTCTCTTTTTTGTACTTCAGAGGTAATACACTTTCCTACCTTCTAAACGTTCATCCAGGCCAGCCAAAGTCTGCTGGAATTGTGCAGCAATGAGTACATCCTCATTCTCATGCTTAGCCAAAGCGATTTTTTCATGTCTCCTGCTAAATGGAAGAGAAGAAAAAGGTTGGATCTCCTTTTTCTGCTTTGCACTGTTGCTCTGAAATACACTACCATTTCAGCCCGTTTGGTTCCACAGGGGTTCTGAAACTGATTCTCCAAAGTGGGAAAAATATGCAGCCTTAGAGACACAAACCACCATATGACACATCCACATCTAGAAAGAATCTCTGTGGTGCCTGAGCATGCTCAGTGTGCTGGCAATCAAAAGATGAGGATTAATAAAGCCTGTCGCAAAGAAACACTCTGGCTTCACTGTGAAGTACACATTTCAACCAGGCTGCAGAAAAGCAGCATATGCCAAGGCAAAGGTTTTGCATATCCATACAATTTTAAAGCAGACCACTAGCCATCCTGTGCACCCTCTGTGCCAATAGATCTGCACCTTAATTAAGTAAAAATTGCATGGTAATGAAAAATAAATACAGCTAAGTACTGTTAGACAATCACTCTGCATCCTGAGGGGAAGGAGGGGAAGAGGAAAGGGAAACTAATCCCTTAAGAACTGTTTCAAACGAAACATATCAAGGGGCCCGATTTTGCCAGAAAAGAACTCCATGTTTTTTGATGAAGTTGTACAATATTTCAGACCAAGTCTCAAATCAGAGTAAGTGCCAAATGTTGTCTTATTAAAATAATAATAATAATAAAAAAAAAACTAAGAAAAATCCTAACAAAAAATAACTAAAACTAAAAAAACCCCAAACATATGACAACCTGTTACACAACTGATCTTATGTTTATTGGGAAGAAAAATCTTGACCAGCAGAGCTTTTCTACCTAAATCATTGAAAGTAGGATTTCATACTGGGCAATTTATTTTTTCCAGCTACCTGTTCCTCACCTGAATTTAAGACATTGTTGTCTGTGACACTGTATCTAAGTTTTGCCATTGCGATTAGCCTATTGAAAAAATAATTTTCCATTCTAACCACACGTACAATAACTCAGGTCAGCTGAAGCAGATTTGTCCTTTTCAAGATCAAATCCTTAAGAACACAAGTACAGGAACAGATGACTTTTTTTTTGGTAGTTTACCAAACACAACCTGAAGATTTTTTTTCCCCGCTCTTTAAGATAACAACACGAATAAGAATTCAGGAATGTTTCCTGACACTGATTTAAATTTTATCTAACGATGCAGCTTCCTTTTTTGCTATTTTATTGTTCGATTTTTCCCTTGCTCACACCAGGAGCAACTGAAAGCACATGTTGAAGCATCAGGTATTTTATTTCAACTTATTTAGCATTCACCTCTCAGTTCTTTGTCTTTTGTAGTAGTCCTGAAGCCCGATTCTTTTACTTGTACGTAAACTGCCTTGCACTTACAAAGGTGTGTTGATGTATGTGGGATCAATGAAAACAGCAACATTTGCCATTGACCTGAGCATTGATAGTCCCCGAACATTCCCAGAAGCCACTGTGAGCTGATGATGCTCAGGCTCAGCACCCACATTACAGGCTTCATGGCAAACCCAGTCTTCCTCCTGATCGATTAAGACAAAGGTGGCACAAATGGAAGTCTCCAGCATAGGCAAATGGCACTGCTAGACTGCAATTCTATGTACTCTGAAGCAAACGCACACACAAATCAATGAGATTACTCATTTGAGCATTCTGAAAACAAAAAAGATCTAAAGTTGCTGCAGCATTTGGACTGGCCTTCTCCAGGAAATAATAGGAACTATTGGCTTAAGAATTTTATGGGCAAATTATCTAGGAAAACATATTGGAGACTGGAAAAGGGATTCCTGGGCTCCAAACATGCAATGTAGGTCCACTGCACTGACCATCTCTTTTCTCACATTAATCAATGGGAATCTTTCAATGACTCCTCATAGCAAAATTATCGTCTCCTTGATGGGCACAACTGACACCAGAGGTCTCTTTCATTATCCTCTGTGCACTTATGCAGTGACTATACATAATTTGCCTCTCAATCTCTGCTTCAATCTCCTTATCTAGACAACTGGAATAATAATATCCAATTCACATAATTTTTCTGAAGGAAAGAGAACAATGCAGTGAAAATGAAAAGATTCTTATTTGTTCTTACAGAGGGAGCTTCAGAAAAAGCAGGTCTTTTCTTTTGCATTTCCAAATTCCTAAAAGAGCTATTGTTCAATTCATCTCCAAACTCACCTACAAAGCAAGCCAGAAGATACAGATTAATCACAGGGCTTTTCTTCAAATTCTTCGCATCGGGAAATTAAAATGTGATACGTGTATTGTGAGGTGAAGCTCTGGTAGTTTTCAGTAGCTCAAATCATTACAGATATGCCTAAGAGGACTCTTTCTCACAACAGTATTTGGGAATGGAAAACAAAAGGGCCTCCAATTCATTTTTTTGTTTATTCTGCACTTTCTTTCCTTCTAACCCTATGCACTTTTCTCTTGTTGACAGCTCTGTTTTGGCCAGAATCCAAGAAAAATGTAACTTATTCCGATACCATGTTTTATATTCTGGATAAACATTACCAGAGTTACTTTCTCACACACACTTTTCCGACTTAGGGAAGAACTTGATAACCTTTACACTGCCTTTCTGGTAAAATGTGAGGCACTAAAAATACAGCAGTGACAAGCATTTACCCCAAGCTCAAAATGGCAAATGTGCATGGCTCCTGGAAGCCTGTGCACTTACTACTTATGTAGATTAGCACAGATTTGTACAAGAGCACAGAACAGAGCAAAACAACTACTAAACTACAGCCTTTAAGTGTTCCACTGAGTTCAGGCTATAATGCGTAATTACTCCTCAGCAGTCATTTGCTCGGTTGGAGACAAAAATGAAATTTACAGCAGCATTTCACCAAATCAGTGGCATGGGAAACAGATACTTACGAGGAAGTTTACATTCTAAGAAAGAAAGAAAACTCTCTGATGAATCTAGCTGTGAATGCTGCATTAAAAAGAAACCCAAACCAGTGGTAAGACAATGGATTTGCAACGACAGAAGCTGTCATTTTGTTAGAGAAGCTTTACCTGGGGGTCTGCAAATGACAAAACTGACCTGAGCCTCTTCAAGCACTTCCCATGAGTTCTGGTGAGCCTCATGTATGGTACCAGAGGTATACACCACAACTCCCACATTAACTGTTTAAATACAACACATACCAATGTAAACTGCAGAGAAGGGACTGAAGTAGAGATCCATTTACCTAAACTTGAGCACTTGGTGACATCTGAAATACGGTAGGACATTCAAAACATCTGTAGACATAATTTGGAAGATAGGGGGACCGATGTCCTGTTGGACTGGCAACAGGCAAGAAGAAATGCCAGTAGACACGTCTCAGGTTAACTGAGTATGACCTGAAAGTGTCACTCATTTTGCAGTATTTACTGCATCAAAAGAGAACTTTGCTCTTGTGAATGTGTTACTAGCTGGAGAAGGAAGACAAAACCGTTGCAAATAACAGGGTCAAATCCAGGCAGGCACACCGTGCATTGGCACACGCAGGGACATCCTGACTCCTATGAGGCCATTCAATGGACATCAAAAGCATTAGCTTCTCCTGTGTGTCTTAGGCAGCTAACAGGCTTATTGACATGGAAAGCTGATATGGTTACTCCTGACTGGGATCTGGAGCATCTGGGCTTCTTTCCCAGCTCTGACAGTATTCTCAGTCTGATACTGTGGAATTATATTAACCCATCTGTATGTATCCAGATTTTTCCTCTTCAAAATGAATTCACAATATTCTCCTTTTACACAAACGCTGGGAAGAGGAATGGTCCTACCTTGAGTATATACATGGAGGTGGGTATTAAAGAAGAGACTGATGCTAAACAATTTTAAGTTGTAGAAAGTACGGCTCAAGCTTTTTGAATGCAACTTGCTATTCAACCAGGCCAGAAAGATGGCATTAAGTAAACTCAAGGTACATATTTGTTTTTGTGAGTGATGCAGCAAAGCACTCTTCAAAAGTGGAGGAAACTATTTGCCAGGTTAACCAATAGTTTACAAAATCTTAGGGACCATTTTTTTCATTCTTTGCACTTCTTAGGCTAGATGGCTTTTTTTCTATTGCCTTCCAAGGAATGAATACAACAGCAGCAGGAGAGCAGCTAGTGTAAGTGGTGGACTTTCTGGTCACCTAAGCTATGACTTGACCATAGATATTTTCCATATCTGTTGCCTCCTGTGAACTTGAGCATGAAGTTTTAACGTTTGAATGACCAAAGCCTGCTAAAACACAAAGTCTGTAGACTAAACAACCAACTTAGGACTTGTTAGATAGCAAAGTCATCACCTGTCTTTGAAGCAAGACTTCGGAAAGTAGCAGGCAACTCGGAAAAAGAAAAAGCGCATTGGTTATATGCTGTTGAATGCCAGAATATGTTGAACGTTTTTTATGTTCTTCAATGAGTGATAAAAAAAGATGCACATACTTTTTGAGAGCAAGGTACAGGTATAATTTTAATTCCAGGGTTTTTAGTTTGTGTTCAGTTCCTAGTTCCGTGAGACTGCATCAAACTTACAAAGGTTTTTAGACTGCATTTATATCACTGCTGAATAAAAATCATCAGAGATTGAATTAACTGTTTTCCAATCCTAGAACACACAAGCCCAGTAGTACCTTCAGATATATCACCACCCAATTACAAATAAGAATTTGCAAATGTAGATGGGGAGGAAAATGAAGTAATTTTTCAGCTGCAGCTGGGTTTATGGTCCTTTTACAGTCCTCCCCCATGGTTACTGGCCAAAAATCTAAACAGAAAGCAAATGAAAATGTTTTAGCTTAGTATAATTTTGTGTTTTAATGCTAGAAATCTCTAAGCCTGTTACACACCAGGCTTAGAGATTTAAGCTTCCAGAGTCCTCCAACATATGTCTGCTCCAGGGTCCTGCTGCATAAGCAGCAGCTTGTAGTTGCTATACAGCTGGAAGCATGCCTCCTCTCCCCCCTCCTCACACGGGCCTCTGGCAACAGCTTCTCAATGGGAAAGCCCGCAGGCAGACAGCACTGCCAGAAAT